TCTCCCATCCTTCCTCCTGTTCCTGGCCGAAGGGCAAGGCTAGTGTCGGATGCCTGGAGGTAAACTACCGCTTCGGCTCGGTGCTGCTCAAGGAGGGGATGAAAATGCTCGTCCGTGCACCGAACGGTGTGAGCGGCGAGGAGCCTCTGGTGGTCGCCCGTGGCGAAGGCGTTCCTCATATCATAAGACTTCGCAATGAAGGAAAGGCGGGCGGCGCGTAACTTCCATCTGCCTGGATCTGTCTATCGTCTGCGTCGGCCGAAGCGGTGGCCAGCTCGGGGCACACGAGGGAATCTGCGCTGTGCGCCGAGGCGCACGCGCCCGAGCGCTGCCTGCGCGGGGCCAGAGGGACACGCCTCGGGCCGAGGGGCAGTCCGAGCAAGGAGTTCCTCTCCCCTTCAGCCGCGTGGATCATCATCATCATCATCATCATCATCATCATCATCATCATCATCATCATCATCATCATCATCATCATCATCATCATCATCATAACCATCATCACCACCACCACCATCATCATCATCATCATCATCACCATCAGAACCAACATCACCCACAGCATCAGCAACGCCAGCAACATCTTCATCTTCATCAGCATCAACATCAACACTAACATTAGCACCGCAGTCCGCATCCGCATCAGCAGCGTAATCCTCATCACCAGCAGCATCATCAATACCAATATCAGCATCATAGCCCATTGACATCATCTCCATCGTCACCATCGTCACCATCATCATCATCATCACCATCATCATTAACTATGAATCAGCATTCATCCACATCATCATCAACATCACCGCCACCACTACATGATTTCCATGACTAACGTCATCGTCATCTTCATCGCGGTCATCATCACCACCACCATCAGCATCGTCGCCATCATCATCGTCACTATCAATCTCATCATCGTCATCATCATCGTCGTCGTCGTTGTCGTCGCTGTCGTCGTCGTAATCATCATCATCAACAACATCATCAGCAGCAACATCATCATCAACACCATCATCATCAACATCGTCAGCATCAACATCATCATCGTTGTCGTCGTCGTCACCCGCACCATCCTCATAACCCTCATCACGGCTCTCCCGAGCCTGGAGACACGACGTGTCACACGAGACGGCCTCCCGTGACCCCTCGGACGGTCGCCACCCAGAATGCTGGGTTTACGCGATGGCGGGACCTGCCGCGGGAAGCTGGACTTCACTGCCGCAGCATTGGGCAATGAGCTGGTGCCCGAGACGGGCGCGCAGGCAGTGCGGCCAGTGGAGCACGCCTCCACTCATCGGCAACGAAATCAAAGGTCAAGTCTCACGCAGCGTGCGGAAGGCGTGCAACGCACAAGGACATAATCATGAGTGCACCACCGATATAATCCACCACCGCGCCTGCCCGATTGCGGCTTGTCAGAATGCCTGCTGGTTGCCTCGTAGAACAACTGTATTGCCGCCCAGCCCTCCAGCGATGTTGCGGCCCCATCGCTCTCAAAGCTCCCTCTGGCCTGCAGGCCGCAGCCCCTGACCCAGACCGAAAAGGAAACGAGCCTCTGCCGGCCGCGCCCAACCGCCTTCGCGCTGCCGGGCCACGGCGCAGCACATAGATTTCAATCCACAGCGCCGCGCATATCCTCCTCCTCCTCCTCCTCCTCCTCCTCCTCCTCCTCCTCCCCTCCAGGTAAGCCTCCTCATGTTGTTTTTGTTTCTCTCTCTCTCTCTCTCAAGCCTGACGATTTCCCCAAGACGCCTCTAAGGTGAAGGGAAAAAGCAAAGGGAAGCTGCGGACAATAAAGGTTTCTCAGACATGCACTATTTCAACACACAACACTGGGCTCGAACTGCCTTCCAACTGCCGCGTTGCGCTGGCTCGATGGTGGGCTTCGCCGCAGGCGGCCGGATATCTACAGCGCAAAACTGGCATGTTAAAAACGATTGAGCTGGCGGGCCCTGGCGGGCCATGTCTGGCCGGTAGCAGCGCACACAGGAAGGGGAAACAGACGGGCCAAGCCGACGGGGTTGAGCTCGGCACGGCGGGCACGGCTGCGCCATGTGGCTGCGCGACCACTGAGAATGGGGATCCTAGTGGCCGCTGATCAGGGCTCGGGCCCGTCGGTGCGAGATTCAACCTCTGTCGCGGAGTTGCTGGGGCCTCAGTGGAATTCATGCAATCTGATGCCGTTCGTGGGAGCATTGCCAACATGTGCGGAACGAGTCAGGCGAATCAGGGCTTCGACGCCGAACCAGAAGGGTTGGTCCCCGCCGCGGGGACTCTGGAACTCCTGGGCGCCGAGCACCAAGACAATCCACACCACACATCCTCGCCATCCGTAACTGTCTGCTTCCCAACAGATGGGAGGGCCGGCTGGCGCGCAAGGGCCGCCAAGAGATTTCGTCCTTTGAGGCCACATGCCGCGCGATATGTGGGTGAATGGGTGGGTTCGCTGCCCCAAACATAATACATTCGCGCTCGGCCGCGTGAGTTGCGATTGCTGCTACGAGCAATACTGCCTCTGCTGCTACTACTGAAACTGCGACCATGCTGCTACTGATGCTGCGACGTTGCCAACGCCGTGTGGGAATACCTCGTGCACTTAGCCTGCCGAAGAACCCTACCCTTTCTAAACACGTGGCGACTGTAATCATAACCCTGCAATACACCAGAAGGGATCGCTTCGCCGAAGAACTTCAGGCCGCATTCAACGTTCCCCATTCACGCACGCACTCTGGCGGCTCAAAACGTAAACGGGGGGACCACCAAGAGTGTAAGGTGTGTGCCGAAATGGGGCGAGGCATCATGCAAATGCAGACACTGGGGCCTTCGGTGGAGTCCTCTGGGAACACGAAACATGTGAGGCGTGTGCCGAAATGGGGCGGGTCATGATGTGAACCCAACCACTGGGACCGTTGGTGGGGCTCCCTGTGAGGCCACGAAAGGTGCGAGGGTGAACCGACTTGGGTTGGGCCACCATGTGAACCCGATCACTGGGGCCTTCAGTCGAGCTCCCTATGGGGCTACGTAGCTGGTGAGGGGTGCGCCGAAATAGGGTATGCCACCATATTAAACCTGCAACTGGAGTCTTTGGTGGTGCTCAGTAGGGGGTCATGAAAAGTGTGAGGGGTGCGCCAGACTGGGGCGGTCCCCATGTGAATCCAATCACTAGGGTCTTTGTTCGAGCTCCCTGTGAGGCCACGAAGCGTGCGATGGGTGTGCTGATTTGGGGCGGGTCACCATTTGAACTCAACCACTGAGGGCTTCGGCGGAGCTCCCTGGTGGGCCACGAAACTTGCGAGGCGTGTGCCGAAACGGGGGGGTTAACCATGAGAACCCTGCCACTGAGGCCGTCGGTGGAGTTCCTTTGGGGGCACAAAGTGTGCGAAGAGTGTGCCGCCATGGTGAAAGTCACCAATTAACCCTGCTGTTGTGTCCGTCGGTGGGGCTCTCATATGGGACGACGAAGCGTGTGAGGAGGGGGGGGGCGAAATATGGCGGGTCACCATGCGAACCCAGCCACTGGGGCCTTCGGTAGAGCTCCCACAGGGGCCACGAAGCGTGTGATGGGTGCGCCGCACGGGGTGGCTAACCATGCGAACCCTGCCGCTGGGGCCTGTAGTGGAGCTCCCTGTGGCACTGTGGGAGCAGTGCGGCGCGCGTCCGCCCGAGGGCGAGCAGACGGCGGGAAGCGGCCAGCGAGCCGCAGACCTCAGAGGTCGGGAATGAAGGGCCCCGCGAGGGAACCGCCGAGCAGCATCGCGTGGATGCCGCTCGCGTGAAGGCGGGCGCGGCGCGGCAGCCGCACGCCCGCCACGCCGTCAGGGCGGCGTCGGGGGCGGGAGCAAGGGGGATTTGCCGTATCCCTCCTCCAGGTCCTGCCCGCCCTCAGCTGGTCCAGCCTCGCAGGGCAAGGGGAGGAGGAGGAAGAGGCGGAGGAGGAGGAGGAGGCGGAGGAGGAGGAGGAGGAGGAGGAGGAGGAGGAGGAGGAGGAGGAGGAGGAGGAGGAGGAGGAGGAGGAGGGAGGAGGAGGAGGAGGAGGAGGAGGAGGACGAGGACGAGGAGGAGGAGGACGAGGAGGAGGAGGAGGCGGAGGGGGGGGGGAGGAGGGAGGAGGAGAAGGAGGAGGAGGAGGAGGAGGAGGAGGAGGAGGAGGAGAAGGAGGAGGAGGAGGAGGAAGGAGGAGGAGGAAGGAGGAGATGCGCGGCGCTGCGGATTCAAAACGAGGACCAAACTCACAGGAGGGTGGATAAACGTCAACGCCAGCGAAGATCATCATGTAGGTCTGGATCAGCTGGTGATGGGTCGGCGCAGCATCGGCAATTGCTGAACGTATTTAGCCACGGACAACGGACTACCATCTGCGCGCACCACAGGACGCGTTTACACCACAATACCTGCGATCACCACAAATGCTAATGCAGCTGCGTGTGCGTGCACCGCAGCGCCTCTGTATGCCACAGCGCATGTGTCCACGACAGTGCTCGTGCACACTACAGTGCCTGCGTACACCACGGCGTCCGTGCACGCAGCAATGGCTGCTCACACTTGTCTCTGTCACACCTCTATGCCTGGCTACACCACACCAGCCTCGTGCACAACAGCGCGTGTGTACACCAAATTGCCTGTGTAATTGGAGAGCCCGTGAACACGGTGTGCGCAGACACGCCAGTGTACGCAAGCAACTTGGTGTACAGACGGCCAGGGCAGGAACCACACAACGCGCACGGGCCAGGGCCAATGGTACGTACTGTTGGTAAGCTCCTGGAGAGCTTGCACCCTCCACCCCAAATTTCGCTCCTTCACTCAGTCACTCCTCCTCCTCCTCCTCCTCCGCCTCCTCCTCCTCCTCCTCCATTCACTGGTCCTCCGCCCACCTCCTCCTCCTCCTCCTCCCTCGTCCTCGTCCTCCTCCTCCTCCTCCTCCTCCTCCTCCTCCTCCTCCTCCTCCTCCTCCTCCTCCTCCTCCCCCTCCTGCTCCTCCAAAGCCCCGACGGGGCCCAAACCTGCAAGGCGTGGGCGACGTCATCGCTGCGGCTGCTGCCGGCGGGCCTCCGCCTGCCCGCGGACGTCTCCGGGCCCAGGGCATCTGAGGGCCGCTCTCTCCGCCTGGGCTCGCACCCCAACCCCGAGACCTTCCGCCGGCGCGGCGACCTCCTCCCCACGGTCGTCCTTGAGGGGGCCCTGGAACATACAAATGAATACAGACAAATCCCAAGATTCCCCACACGTTCCAATCTTTTCTGGATTGCTGTCTCCCCCCCCCCCGCACTCCCCATACTGTCCCTACACTTCCCTGGGGATCGACGATTGATTGTGTAAGTGTCTTTCTTCCCTCCTGAGTCCTCCCTGGCTCCAGCGACCAGCCGCGGACCAGCTTCCAGTCGTGGACGCGCGAACTTGGCCCCGTCGGCCCAAAACTGGGTCGGCCGGGGCCCTGTCGCGAAGCCCGGCCGGCCGCGGAATAGCTCCCAAGTCCGAGTCGGCGGAGGGCAGACGAGGGGAAGCGGCATCGCTCGGACGTCCATTCCCTGTGTTTTTTTCAGTTTCGTGCGTGGTTTTTTCGCCAAATGATCAAGGATGTTCCTCGATGGTCCTCGCCGAAGAAAAAATGCACACGTCCGAGAGATGCCAAGACAAGGGGAGTCGGCCCCGCGCGGCTCCCAGACCCGGGTCCGCCAGAGGGCACTGGCTGACCCGCGCTGGCGCTGACGCCCCTTGCGCGAGCCCCGAGGTCCTCGCTCGCGCCAGCAGCCGGCGCCCCTGTTGGGGCCCTCCTGGGGGCTTCAAGGTGGCCGCTTGGGGGCCTCTTGGAGGCCAGCTGGCGGTGTCGGGCTCTCGGGGGCCTCCCCTGGCTCATGGGGCGGTTTGGCCATCTTGGGCAGCCCCTGGCTCGTGTATGGGGGCCCTCTGCGGGCGTAATGGGCCCCTCTTGGGACGGTTTCTGGGCGCTCGTGGGCCGTCTTGGGCGCATCTTGGGCCGCCTTGGGGCCCTCTTGGGCTTCTAGGGGCCTTCTGGGGGCATCCTCCCTTTCCTCCTCTTCTGGGCTCCGCCGCTGTGACTTTTGTCCTGGACTCAACGCGTGTACAGTGCAAAACGCGTGCTGCTCGCACGGCCTTCTGTGGGGCCTCTGAGGCAAATGCCTGCGGGGGCGGGGAAGCGTTGCTGCGAACCCTTGGTCTCCTGCGGTGCTGAACTGTCCTCACCCTGGCCTGGCCGTGGACCACGGCGCGGACGGTCACAGGGCTGCGGGTAGGGGGGGGCCGCCTCCTGGGGCTCTCGGGGGCAGACGAGCGCAGACTCGTGAAGCTTGAGCCCAAGCTGCTGCAGCGCATGCTCCCGTCTCCAGGCCACCCACCTCGCTTCTCAGAGCTTCGCAGCTCGAGGCTCCTGTGTGGCATTGATTGGCACTGCACTGCTTCGCGCTGCTTGGCAGTGCTTCGCGTTGCCTGGGGATGCTTCGCATCGCTTGGCGTTGCTTGGCACTGTTTGGCGTTATTGGGCATTGCTTGGCGTTGCTTGGCACTGCTGGGCGATGCTTGGCGTTGCAGATGGAGGAAGGCGGGGAACGAGACCTGGAAGCCGCAGCAAGCCATGACTGGGGAGCCCGATGCACGACAGCGAGTGACAAGACAGAGCCTCCCGGGAACAATGCCAGGGAACCCGAGGAAGGCAGGGCACAGGACCGGGGAACCGATCAAGGCCGAACACCGCCTCACCAAATCGACTCCTCCTCCTCCTCCTCCTCCTCCCCCTCCTCCTCTCCTCCTCCCTCCTCCTCTCCTCTCCTCCTCCTCCTCCTCCTCCTCCTCCTCCTCCTCCTCCTCCCCCCCCCTCCCTCCTCTCCTCCTCCTTCCTCCTCCTCCTCCTCCTCCTCCTCCTCCTCCTCCTCCCACTCCTAGCCCTTTCGATCAGGGTCGGCGGCACCGGCCGTCAGGCCTCTCCAATCGACTGGCAAACGCTAGTGCTTCACGCAACAAACAAGAACCCCTTAGGCAGGCCAAACTGGGAAGCACAACCCTGTACATGAGGGTCACGATGTGCCGCATCGGCTCGAGATGCGAGAGCCGCCCCTCCACCATCTACGAGGTCCAGGATTGGCCACGGCACACCGAACTCATACTTGCAACATGCATTCCACACAAGCACACTGGCCACGAGGTGTCACGACTCTACGGTCCAACGAATCCATACGTGACGACCGTGGGCCAATCGTCATCTGCCTGAGCCGCCACCTCACGCGAGAACCACGAAGGGGACACGACAGGCATTGAACCACGAGCTGCTCCCTCCCGTCCCCGCCTTCTCAAGCCCGCGAAGTCGAGATATGTGCCCAGGGAGCCTCCACGTTGACGTGAGCACAACCGACGTAGGCGATCCAGACACCTCCAATCATAGGCAAGGCAGAATGGCCAATGAGTGGAGTGTGCACTCGTGCTCCTGCTCGCCCAGCGGCCCCCCCCGAAGTGGTGGGCGCCGCTCGAGCACTTGCTGACGGCAGGCCGACCGGGCCGAACTGGAGCAGCGAAGTGCTGAGGGAATCGCAGATGCGCAGGCAGGGATGGCGAGGCACGAAGTGGCGCGAGAGGGGCGGCTTTCCCGAAGGCACGGGGCTCCTCAGAATCCCCCAGGCCCTTCTCAGAAGACGGGGGTGCCTCTGAGAACCCCCCTGCCTTCTGAGATCTCACAGGGCCGCCCGCCTCGCACGCCGCCGGCGTAGACATGACGAGCACCTCACAGCAGCGAGGAGGAGGAGGAGGAGGAGGAGGAGGAGGAGGAGGAGGAGGAGGTGGTGGAGAGGAGGAGGAGGAGGAGGAGGAGGAGGAGGAGGAGCGGAGGAGGAGGAGGAGGAGGAGGGGGGAGGAGGAGGAGGAGGTGCAGTGCGTGTGGTGAGAGGGGTGGTGGAGAGGCAAGTGGTGGGTGTGGAAGGTTGGAGGAGAGGTGGGTGGAGGTGGGGGAGGAGGTGGTGGAGGTGCGTGTTTGGTTGAACAGGTGCGGGGGAGGGGTGGGGGGTAGTCGCGGGTGTCCTCGGAAGTGGGATTTGATAGATGAAGGTGGAGGTGGAGGAAGGAGGAGGAGGTGGTGGAGGTGGCGGGGTGGGGGTGGAGGGAGGGGGTGGTGGAGGGAGGAGTGGTGGTGGAGGAGGAGGAGGACGGAGGTGGAGCTGGAGGAGAGGGAGGTTGGCGGAGGGGGGAGGAGGAGGAGGGAGGAGGAGGAGGAGGTGGAGGAGGGAGGAGGAGGGGAGGAGGAGGAGAGGTAGGTGGAGAAATGGAGGGAGGTGGGATGTGAAGCAGGTGGAAGGGGGATGGGAGGGGGAGGGTGGCGGAGGGGGGGAGGAGGGGGGGTGTGGGTGTGCGGGGGAGGTAGGTAGTGTAGGGGGGGGAGCTGCGGGAGGAGGAGTAGGGGGGAAGAGGAGGAGGAGCAGGGGTAGGACGAGCACCTCACGGAGAGGCCACGGTGGAGGCAGGGCGGCCCCGCCGCACGTGCTCCATTCGGTTGGCCGCGGGTGCCGCGTGCCGTCGGAGCTGCTGCTCCGCCGCCGGACGTCTGGTCAGAGACTTGGCGCGTCGCGCTCCTAAGCAAAAATGATTGGCGGTGCGAATGAAGGGCCTCCTCCGTTGTTCTCGCAGCATCGCAACTCATCCTCCTGCCCGCATCCTCCTCATTCCTCCTTCTCCTCCTCCTTCCTCTTACCTCCTCCCTCCTCCACCTCCCTTCCTCCCTCCTCCATCCTCCTCCTCCCCTCCCTCCTCCCTCCTCCCTCCCTCCCTCCTCCCTCCCTCCCTCCCTCAGCGTCGCAGGTGGAGCAGGAGGAGGATCGCCAGCTAGCTTGCTTGTGTCGCAGCGTCGCAGGAAAAGGAGTACATCAAGCATCAAATACTGCACACGCACACGCAGACTTCCAGAGGTCGGCGACGAGTTCTTGGGTCCGCCCCCAGCGCGCTCCGCGAGCCAGGGGAACGTGTGTTTTTTGTTCGGGCGTAGCCCGAATTAGCTGGCCCAACGGGCCAGAGGCGTGCTAAGATCTCCGGTAACTGCTCAACAATATTTCTAGTTCGCGCGCGCGGGGCGGGCCCTGGGGGTCCCCGGACGAAAAGTACCCCGGCAAGCTCCCGGCAAGGTCCCTTTTCGGAGCCCAGGAGGGCTCCAAACGGTCCAAGAGAGGCCCGAGAAGCCCTCCAGACGGTCCAAGAGAGCCGGGAGACGCCGAAATATCACTCCCAAACGCCTGCGATGGCCTCAAGACGGCCCAACAGGCCTTCAAGACGCCCCAAAAGGTCCCTAAGCGGCGCCCCAAGAGGGCTCCCACAAGCAAAAATCGTGTCATTCCCTTAGGAAAACGTGCATTTTTAACATATCCGCCTCTTCGTCTTTCACACCTTTCAAGGCGGTCCAAGAGGCCCCCAAGATCACCCCAAGACGGCCCGAGAGACCCTCTAGACCGCTCAAAGACGGCCGAGCGCTCCAAGAAGGCCCAAAAAACCCTCAAGAACTCTTTTTCGGAGCCCAGGAAGGCTCCAAATCGGTCCAAGAGGGGCCCGAGAAGCCCTCCAGACGGTCCAAGAGAGCCGGGAGACGCCGAAATATCACTCCCAAACGCCTACGATGGCCTCAAGACGGCTCAACAGGCCTTCAAGACGCCCCAAGAGGTCCCTAAGAGGTCCCTAAGCGGCGTCCCAAGAGGGCTCCCACTAGCAAAAATCGTCCCATTCCGTTAGGAAAACGTGCATTTTTAACATGTCCGCCTCTTCGTCTTTCACACCTTTCAAGGCGGTCCAAGAGGCCCCCAAGATCACCCCAAGACGGCCCGAGAGACCCTCTTGACCGCTCAAAGACGGCCCAAGAGCGCTCCAAGAAGGCCCAAGAAACCCTCAAGAACTCTTTTTCGGAGCCCAGGAGGGCTCCAAATCGGTCCAAGAGAGGCCCGAGAAGCCCTCCAGACGGTCCAAGAGAGCCGGGAGACGCCGAAATATCACCCCCAAACGCCTACGATGGCCTCAAGACGGCCCAACAGGCCTTCAAGACGCCCCAAGAGGTCCCTAAGAGGTCCCTAAGCGGCGTCCCAAGAGGGCTCCCACTAGCAAAAATCGTCCCATTCCCTTAGGAAAACCTGCATTTTTAACATATCCGCCTCTTCGTCTTTCACACCTTTCGAGGCGGTCCAAGAGGC